AGAAAAGAGATTTCAAAGTCTCCGCAGGTGTCATTTTGAGATTTTCAAGAGTTGCAAAACTTTTCCATATTTTCCCCGTCGCGTTCTTGAAAATGGGACTATATATATACATATATATGTGTGTGCTTTCCATATGCGAAGGAGTGATCCACCCAGTGTGACACTGACATATTAGGGCGATGAACAATACACGTTCGCCCAGGCAAAAAGACGAATAATTTCCCATGGAGAGACATATTTTACTGTCGTCGCGATGACTCTTCGACTTTCACCTCCTCAAAATAGGAGCACTTTCTCCTCTGGCGTCGGTAAATATTTGCCAAATTGTGATTTAAATCCGCCCAGCACACTTGCAAGTTCTGCGCCATGAAACTTTAATTGAAATTGCAAAGTAGCGACTGATTCGCTGAAGGGGGAATTATTTATTTATTCACCAGCGGAAAGCTCTCTTCATTCCTCCTGATGAGCTTTCTTTCAGTCTTTCTGATTAATTTTCCTCCCCGCCCCAGAGTGAGGTGACGGGTCGGCGTGGGAAAAAATGGGGCAATTTCCTCGTCTTGCGCTAATTAGCATAGCGAAACAAGGTGAAAGACCACCTCGTGAGGCTGTTCTTTTGTGCAAATCTTTGCATTGTTAAGCAAATACTGGCTTTTCCTTGCAAATATGACCATAAAAAGTCATCACTGTGCTTTCCAATTCACCAGTTTACATCTGAAATATGCTTTGTGTTTCAACATTTCACCATTTTCTAGCCGCAGTAAAATGAGAAATGCTCGCAAGATAGATTCTTCTGGCTCTTGAGTTCATGTCACAGCGATAAATCTTAATTTGAGCGAAATTCTGGAAACTTTTATGGATCTCGTATCAACTAATAGCATGTCCTAATTTGATGTTTTGTCGCTTTCGACGTAAACTTCCCGAATTCACGTCACAATAACAAGGATTTGATGAACTTTCCTCGCAGTGTGACTTCGCGACATAACCAAGAAAGGCAAAAAATCGGCGAAACTTTTCCCGTTAGGACTTTTAATAGCGCGCTTTTTAAGCTTTCGCCAGCGGAATGACTGTCGCGCCCTGCAAGAATGTCATTTCAAATATGGAATTTCTCAAGTGGAGGCGCAACTTTTTCTACCGCCACTGAGAATAAATTGATTTTGCTATTTATAGTAAAAATTCATTTATTTTTATTCAGCACCACACACAGTGTATAATATCGATTATGGCTTGATGAGCAGGCTTCCTTCTGTGCTGAGCGATTAGCTGCATTCCTCACTGAACACCTTTTCCCACCGCATTATGGAGTCGCTCAGCTGAAACATGACGTGAAGTTGGCGCGGGGGCGGGAAAAACAGGCCAAGAGGGACTTTTTGAGAAGGTCTGAATGGTCACAGATAAGGAAATGTGCCTTGATTTATTAGATTTGCAGAGAGTTTAGACCCAGACGGGCCAGAAGTATTCCATGGGCAAACAGATAGAATGACAAAACTCATTACATCATTCGTCTTGAAAGGAGTTTGGCGGAAAAAAAAATACGGGAAAAATGCTATCGATTTAATTCCTCCAAGGCTTAAAGTGGCCGTTTTGAGTTGAGGAAAAGTTTTCAGAGAATATTTTACCTTCAAAGCTGGGAGATTCTGAAGTGTGCACGTCACTCATTACACACAAACATGGAGAAACATTTCGCCAAGTCTCGAGATTCAGCGTGGAAAATATATTTTCTCTATAAGTGAAATTTAACTTCAATTCGCCCTCGAGGGTGGCAAATGCCGTGGAGGAATCCAAGAAGGTACCTTAATATTTTTCATGTCACATTTCCGTGTTTGTCATTCGCGCGAACTTGTGTATAAAGTTTGTCATTATTATTCCTCTTGTATTGTTATCCAGTCTGTGTTCAACATTACAGTAATGGGTGTAATTATAATTTCACTCGAAACTTCGACATGTTGGAGGCTTGATGGCATGTATTTAGTCAAATTGCCATGTGGAAGATGAGTATTTTATTTAGGACAATATAATTGCCATTATTGGCGATTTTAGCTGAAAAAATTAATTATTTGCTCTTCAACAAAGCGTCCAATCAGACCAAATTGCTAAATGTGCAAATAAAAAACTATATACAGTGGAATTTTTCAAGGGTGGATGAAATGGTTAGAATTTGTACACCACTTCCTGACACTTCACACACTTCATAAACCAGCAACTAGTAAATTAGTAAATTTTAATAAGAGATTTTAAAGTTCTCTGTGATTAGATGTTTTTTCGTGATTTTTTTTCTGATCATAACCTAAAAAACGACATTAAAAAACCTTAAAAGATTGTTGAAAACATTAAAAATATACAAATTTTATATTTTTAATCGTCGCAATTCTCTTTAAAGCCCAAAATTGAATATTTTAATTCAAAATTTAATGAAAAACCCTAAAAAAGGACAATATTCAAATCTGAACCACAATTTTGTACAATTTTAATCTTTTTTACTAGTTAAAAACTAAAATCGCAATCATTATTTATGGAAATGCTTAAGTCTGCCACTAAATTAAGATGTTTCCAGTTTAGGTTTTTAGAAATCTCACTTTAAATAATCTCATAACCTAGAAAATTACTCTGATGATTTATTTGAAAACAAATTCTAGTTTTTATCGAAAAAATGTATCAATTTTGGTTTAGAAATCGCTCTCTAAACAGAAATATTACGAATATTGAAACACTTCCACTTCTTAAGCACTTCTCCTGAGCTGTACACCACTTTTGACTATAATGTCTCCCCCTTGGATTTTATGCGCAACATGATTCTCAGAAATCAGACCGTAGTTTGCGCGGAAAGGAAAAAAAAATCCAAAATTTCACCAATGCTTTTGTGCAAATTCAGGTCATGATATTTGATTTCACCAATTGCTCTATTAATTAAATCTATTTAGTATCACAGAACCGATCAATGTTGGAAAAAAAAATTTTTATTATCCGTGCTGGAAAAGCTTGTATGTCAGTCAGATGAACGATTTTTAATCCCGTGATTTCCCAAAGAGGAACGAGTGTAAAAAAGTTTTCATTGGGTTTTCATTTTCCAATATGCATCTCGTGCACATCCTACACAGCACAAACTTTTTAATCCGTAGTCTAAAGAGGAAAAGTTCAATTTCTTGGATGACCGCTTCGAAACAAATTAAGTTGAAGAGCCAGAGTCACTGAGTGGAAGTTCTTCTAAAAACGGAGAGTACAGAGAAAATGCTGAAGTTCGTTAGCTGGATACCTGAATCCTTCTAGCTTAGTCAATAAATATGCCTCATCCGCTAAACTTTAATTCTGGATGAGCTTGAATTTATCGCATGTGATTCCATGCTTTAAATGACTCACGCTATAAAATCCTATTCTTAAACTGGGGTGTATAACATAATAATTCTTGGGGGAGGCAATTTTTCCTCGAGACAATTGTGTGTCATTCTCCACGACAAGAATATTAAAATCCCCAGCAATTAATCTTGGGCGGAAAGTTTCCACATTGGGTGTTATTGTAAATATTCAGTGTAGTGTATCGGAGTGTCTTTGTCTGGCACAATATAATAAAATAGCGTGGCTATAGAGAAGATTGCCATTGTACACGGTGGCAGAGGATGACAAACGTGGAACAGGTGAAACACTGAGAATCACAAAATGAAATGGAGTCTGAAATAGAACTGGGGAAATAAAAGAAGCTTTTACATATTTTATAGCCTCACCGGGCGCCTCCACTGCACAATGCCTCGGCGGCTCCGCTCTTTGCCAAAAAGCCCCATGGAACAGCCAATGAAATTGTCTATTCACTGTGTCACAAGTAATAAGTTAATTTATTGCCTCTCCACCCTCAGTCTCTCGCCGTTCCGCCGTTCCGCCAATGACGATGATGGCCTTTGACCTGTGGCGGAAGTATGCAAGACTTTCTGCAGGATTGCAAGTGTGGTGGAAGTCGAAATGCTTCAAGACTCGCCGCGTGATTTATGGTTTAATCTTCAGTTTAATTGGACAATTGGCGTTTCCCATTGTTGAGAATTGTGCAGAGAGTATTCCAACTCCTTATTTCGCTTGCGCGCAATTTGCATAATTTTGTTGGTTTATCGTGTTTGAAGGGATCTATATTGAAATTGATTTTCGCTACAAAACGAGAGTCAATGACAATTCGATGTGCAAAGCGGACTAATGACAAAAGATTTGATGTCTTTTGCAAGGACTTTCTCACGCGAATTTCTTCTGATTTATCTCGTGGTTTTGTGCATTTTGCTTGGTCCTCGAGAAGAGCCCCAAAATCTGTCCCAAAATAAACCCTTAATTACATCACTCAATGACTGGTGATTGCTTTTAAAATATTTTGGCTCTCTGCTTTACGATGAAGACCAATTAAATGGCAAAAGACAGAACCGCAAATTGTGAGCGAATATAGGAAAAAATATATTTTTGGCACTGAAGGGAGAAATCACATCATTTTCCCACTTCGCTCAAGAGCATATCTCAGCACTGCTGAGGACATTTATGTCCCTTCCCGGGAGGGAAGGCGATGCTTAGGCCGCCGATGTGAACACATCGAATCCATACCTGAAAGAGACAGAAATCACACGCTGAGCTCTTCCCCAGTCTCCCTCTGGGCAGTTGAACTTTCTAAGCTCAGTTTTTTTTCCGTGGGGGACCTGCAGAAATTTTCCATCTCGACGAGGCAGCGCTTTGCAGCAACCAGAGAGCGTCTTGTTGAGCATCAACATGAAATAATCATAGAGAGTTGTTGTGCTGCTGGTGTGCTGTGTATAGCCATCCTGTTTGCACTTGAGCCACGTCTGTGGAAAACCCGGCTGTAATCATGAGGCAGCATGCCGCTATATGCGCAAAAGCATGGTATTCTTGTCGTTCACACTCAACCACATATCCTGTATCTTTGTTCCGCGCGCCAAGGCAAGGGTCTCCAGGTTACGCGGAACACCAGTTGTAGTTTGCCCGTCGAGATGTTGAGATCGGTGTGCGGATATTATTTTAATCATTTATATATCTATCACTAGAGGAGCATCTCCTGCAGCCAATCACCCATCATCACCTTGACTCATACTTCTTTTGTGTGTGACTTAGGAACACTCTTCATATCAGTTGTGGATCAAAAATACATCTCTTCGCGTAGACTTTTCGTCTCTTTTGCATATTTATTTTGGACCATTTTTTCTCCTCTTAGTTTTATTTTTTCACGTTAAGATAGGAAAAGAAAAAATGCCGAGAGAGTCTTCGCAGAGATGTAGAGAATGTATAAAACGTGTGATAAAATATAACGTGTATTAAGGCCCAGACACCGCAAAGGAGCAAGTGTGACGAGAAAAGCGCGCGACCGTGAGGAAAAAGTATAGTTATTAAATTTCTAGCCAAGAAATCATTCAATCTATTTCGGTGGACCCACGGAAGGCAGTGTCTGGTGTGGAAAAAAAGACGGCCCCAGAGGAAATTCTGTGACTGTGGTGTTAAACCAGAGAAAATCCCACTGGAAATGTGTATGTGAGAGCTTTTCGACAATGGCAAAGAGAGCTATAATGAAAATGCTGGTCGAAGGATATAACCATTAATATCGTGAAGATAATAAAATAGAGTTTCAAGTGGTCTGAGAGATAAGGACGGATCTCCATCCGCTTCGCTGGGGAGCGACACGGAAGTCCACACAGTGATTGTGTCAGGAATTGAGGAGAATTTTATGACTCTCCACGTCAGTCCGAAAAGGACTGTGCGTTGAGGCTGATAAATCAAATAGTTTTTCATTCGGAAATAAACTGCAAAATCGATATCCAATCGCCAAATCTTGGCCCATCTCCAGTCGCTCTTGTGGGCTTTCACTTTTCAATTGGCACCCAAACCACATCGGGGGACACCAGAGGTCGTCTGTCTCCCGGAAATGGCCCGCGCGAAAGGTGCCCCCGCCGCCGCTCAGTGGCATTCGCGGGAATATTGCCTATTTGTCTCCTTTGAATTTTCACTCATGTGAAACGCGTAACGATTACACAAAAATATATTAATTTCTTCACACTGTCGTGACACATTGATGTCAGATAATTTAATATTTGCGTCATTTCGCCGTATATCGCAAGAAGAGATAACCCAGATCTGCTGGCACTGAGGCCAACGCGTCTTTCTATCGTCCTCACTTCTTCGCCTTCCCCGCCTCGGCTCGCTACTTGCGCCAATAATTGCACGATCGAGTGTAATTCTTCAATTTCTCCCGCACAAACATCATCAATCAAATGACTTTCGACAAACCCTCCCGCCTCCCAACCCTCCCAGATCCGCCAAGATGCTGAAAATTGATGCTGCAGTCAACAGAAGTGCTGAGCTGAGGAAAAAAGACCCCGTCAAGCATAATTGCAAGAGTAGCGTGTGTTTTGCGTCTAAATATAAAACATCAACTCTTTGACGCGCTCATGAGCAATTATGTGTACGGAAATTGGTTATGAAGAGAGAAGAATCGCAATCAGAACCGCGTTGCATCCTTGAGAAGAAAGGAAAAACAAGCGGAAACTCCCGAATTATTAATTACACTATGTACAGCACGGAGCTTTTTAATTGATTACACCAAAGTGTGGTGAAAGCTTGGGATGATTTTACTCCAGATATCACAAACTGAAATTTGTTTTACGACACAAAGTATTTTCTGCTAGAAACCTTTCAATTTGCGTGAAAGAATTTCATTGCTTCTCTTGCTGTGCATGAAAGTTAATATTGTTGAATTTTAACAAGAATTGACAAATGCAATTTCCGGTGAAGCCCTCAGTTTTTCCAAATTAAAAACCCTCAACAGTACAAATGCAATTTCCTCATGCTCAAAGCTCTCTCTGGAGCCGCAACTGCATCGACGGGGGTGAAATCAATTTCCATTTTCCACAAGAATAGATCATCGTGATTCGGAGTGATGCTGTTTGCAGATGGACTGGTTAATCGGCGCAGCGAGTGAGAAAAAGAAGCCAAGGGGGTGGAAATGTAATTAAATTTAATGGCATTGCCGGCGGGAAAATAGTACGAGAGTTTTTCTGCAAGTGCGCTTGTTGCACAGCTGAAAGCGTCGGGAAAAGCAAAACAATTGGTCACAATTATAGCCACTCTGGCAGTGATCGTCTGAGATCTCTTTGGTGTGTGCAATGATTACGAAATTGCGTTATATTATTTCTGGTACTCGCGGTGATTTTATTTCGGGCAACTTGGCACGTATTTATAACCTCATTTAAAAATATCAAACACCACGGCGTTTATTTATACAACTGTAACGATGTATTAATATCAAATTAACTTTTTCTTTAATCTTCAAATGTATATTCTTATATTTCCGCCCACGGACTCGCCAGATGAGAGGCGCAGCGATCTGTGGTGGGCGCGAAGAGGATGGCAAGATCCTCATCTCAGAGACACAATAAACACATTAGGAAATCCTCAGGCGAGTGTGTGAGGAGAGTTTCCAATTGAATGGCGTATCGTCACGAGCACGAGGGCGCCGTGATTGGGAAATAATGAAAAACACTCCGGTGACATCAGAAAGTGGATAATAGGACGACGAGTGCAAGAAGCATCGTGGAAAGTTGAATTGCAGTGTGAGTGTTGTGTGACAATAAAAACCATGAGCTCAGTTTCGAGTGGTGCAATGGAATAGCGCAAGAAGTGGAGGGACAAAGCAAGTGGTGACTCTTGACGAGGTGGGCGAGTTGGGGGTGAAATGAAGAGATTGTGTCGCCTAAGCGTGGCCCGAGTTCCGCATTGTGTGCGCGGTGGATGAAAGGCGATACGCGATGTCTTCGCCAGCGTGATGGCCTTTCGACGACCATGTAGCCATTATTGCTGATAAATTAAATATAAATTGAATTTGTCCAATAACACTCGTGCAGAGAGGAACTGCCAGCGACCCGTGAGACACACACTCTCTCTCTCTATTCGCCGTGCACGCGAATGTGTGACAAGGACTGAAGCATGAAGAAGAAAAAATGTGAAAATCTGCAGACTTGCACACGCCGATCCTATTGACCGGTTGTCAGCAATTGCGTGGCATATTGCTGAGGTGCGATCCCTCTCTTCCTCCCTCACTTCCATCCACACCTCTCTTCCCCGCCTGGGAAGCCTTCCGCCCTCCTGTCTCGCTTTCCGTGCGTGAAGTGTCCGTGAGCTCGTCAACATGACGATGTGGCAGAGTGGTGGCATGGGTCACGGAACCCAGAACAATCCGTGGATGAAATTGATGGGAATTGTATCGCACAAGGAGAGGCGACACGACAATGCACAGAGCCAAAGTGGATCCAACGAACGCACCCTCAACCAGTGAGTATATTGACTATATTTCCTTATTTTCCTCTACACTGAGAAAATCGCATCGCAATTATCCCTATTTATGCTGTTAAGGAAGGCATCTGTGTGGTTAAAGCTTCTAATAATTAAGGGAATATCCGCGAAACATCCCAAATGTTCCCATTCTTAAGGTCGCTTTTTTCCTTGCTTTTTTTCAAATTTATATGAGAATATATTTCTTAAAAAAAACAGGCACAGTTCCTCAAATACTCAGAAATAGCTTTTTCGCAGTTTTATTTCCCAGTAGAGAGATTAAAAGTGGAATATTTGCTTTAATTCTCAGTTCTAAAACTTCAAAGAACTTAAATTTGAACAAGTCTTGTACATTTGTGGGCGGGGCAACGAAAGGGGCGTGGCTTTTACTGAAAATCTTTAATATAAACAAGGAAATACATTGCATAACTGCAACTTTTTGCACAGTTCTATGTTTTATTGCCATAAAAAGGGTCAGGAAAGCTTTCGGGGCTTTGAGACTTTGTGTGAAAGCTCCGATGGGACTCATTAGCACAGAGAAAATGGCCATAATTTAGGATGTTGGGGTTTTTCAGCGCATCTCGTCTCGAGATCAAACAAATTGACTCATCAGGCCACTAACCCAGAGCTAGTTAAGCCATACAACATATATCATAGCCTAATAACTGCCCCGAAACACTATCAGATACAAGGCCAATTCGAGGCGGTTTTAAAGAGTTCCGAGATGCCTGCCATGCATGCGAAAGAGATAGCCAATGTGGGGCGCTCAGGAAGCAACCTGAACCGATAAACATCAGGAATTGCGGTCCCGCCGTTGGGGTGTGGGTTAAGGAAAATAATGATCCACAAGGAGGAGCCCCAAATATTTCCCCAAAATATTCAGTGTGTCGATTTACATAACAGCCACTGGCACTAATCTCAATATTTTATAGCGGCGAGGTGGGGTGGCAAATTAATTAGGAGGGAGTTTGGCCAGCATTATCGACCGGAAGTGCGGCGAAGAAGTTTGGCGCGAAGGAGGGCAAGAAGTGGGCTTCCTTAAATACCTCACTGTCATGAAATACAGATTAGAGTCTATCACATTTCGCCTGTCCGCAGGCACATCAAATATAGGATGACTGGATGAAAGAAATTGGGTGTGGAGAATTTTTTCTGCCCTCCTGATAAATATTGAGTCGATGGGTGCGAAAGAATTTTATACCCGCCACTGACGCAGTATATCTTGCTCATTTCTCACCCCCACGCGCGCCACCCCTAATCAGATAATGCCTATAGTGCTGTACAGCAACAAGCAAGTCATCGCATTCGCATAAGTAGGGGTGGATTGTGGATGGCTTCTCCCCCGCTCAGGCATTTGTACCATTGTTGAGATGATGGCAGAAGAATCTAAATTGATGGCTTCTCAGTTTCAATCATAAACAATGAAGTGTTCCACACAAGTAACTTGATAAAATGCCCTTTTGATAGACACTCAACAAATATTTCACTCTTCGCTACCACGCTTTTTCCGCCCTTATCTCTGCCGGATGGGGTGTATTAGATTTTTCCCACAGTTGCTTCGGACTCGCTTGGTATTCTTGGCTGACGAGCTGAGGATGCTGTGCTGAGATATGGCCTGGCTATTTGTTGGCAAATGCCATGTCAACGACACGAGCATTTTTTATTAGGATTAAAGAAGGGATAAATATCATCCGATGCCAATTGGATGACTAAACTCGAGCCCAGCAAATCAAATCAGCACAAAGCGACTCCTGTAGCGTTATATCAAGACACATGCTTTAATGAACAATTTGTAAAATCCAAATACATACAATCCTACATGTTTCCTAATTATGTACAGTACTCCGTGTTCTGCTACTCCCCTATTTGCCACCATATATAGCTCTGCAGCAACTTCTACATATAATTTGGGGCAAGGGGAAAATATCGACTGCACTGTTTCACTCCAGTCGCAAATCAATCTCAAGTCTCACTATAATTTTCCTCGACAGAGTCAGAAGAAAAAGTTGCGGAAGAATTATAAATCTTTTTCTAGCCACAACTCTCAATTCACAATACATTTTCCCCTTGATTCGAGAGCTCCTCATCTTGATGTTGTTCAGTGAAGTCAATCTAATTGATTGAAATTGATCAAGTTGCTGCTCTGTCGCAAACCTAAAAAGCACTCTACCCATATTGGTTGGGAAACACGCCTCGTGGGCGGGCGTGAGAACTTTCTGAGACAGTGGCAAAGTATATACTTTGCCTGGGGTGAAAGTTGTTGAGCAAAATTGTTTGGGATTTGCTTGTTATTCATTTGAAATACACTGTGCAAGTTCAATTTTCCTAAATTCACATGAAATAAAAGACCGGAACCCACGATAAAATTTATTCTGCCTCCCAGGACTTTTTCTCCCCACTGGAAGAGTGCTCAGAGGGTGGGAATGAGGCAAGGGGAAGATAATATGACTAGAATCTGTACACCACTTCCAAACACTTCCACAATTTGTATGACGAATCCTTAACACTTCCCAAAACTCTCATTTTCAGACTGTTCTATAGAATTTTTGCACAATATTTGATGATTTTTTGACGACAATGTTGTTTTCAGTGCAAGAATTTCAATTTTAAACTCTTTTTCTGTCTCTGACAAGTTACAAAACTCAGAAAAATGTCTCAAAATTGCATAAATTGAAGCACTTCCACTGCCTGAAATTTCTACTGATCTGTACACCACTTGTGGCTATGTTATCTTCCCCTTGGAACGAGGGAGGGATTGATGGCCTCTGAATATACTGTGGAAATTCAATATTTCAGACTTTTATGTCGGGGGTTGAGAGTCTCTCTCATCCCCAGACAGGCATTTTACTGTTGAACATTGATAAGTTATTGAATTTGTATGAAATATCGAGTATATTTGCAAGATGTGCGAAATGTATTATGTTGATGTCGGTCCACCCGCAGCCCTTGAGTGCCTGTAAACACTTGGGCCGGATATGGAGGCTGCACTTGGTGCCACTAATGTTGCCTCCACGTCGAGGAGTCGGCGTGGCTCCTTGACTGGGGGTTGAGCGGGCGCTTCTGGGGGTGGTGTGAAGAAATAAAATAAAAGTATCTGCCATTCACTGCAGTCAATGAGGGAGTAATACAGTGTGAGCTTTCGAAAGCTCTCTCCACCGAATCTGCCCAAATGCGCAGTCGTGTAGACACATCTGGATGACTGCAGTGGAGGGATGAGCGCGCCGGAGGTGCTGCTGTGTATTTTTTCTCACTTCACCAGCCCCGTTTTTCATCCCCGGCCAGCAGGGCTTAAGTCGGGTGGGCAAAAAAGAGCTCCCCAGAGAGAGAGAGAGAGCGAACGTGGGCGACCATCAGGATTTTCTGCCCTCTGGACAGTCACAATAAATCATTAGCAATTTTGTCACCTCTCTCAATAATTGCTACAACCACAACTCGCTGTTGGCCAAACTCCAGCGACAAAAGTTCAATCTGCCAGCCGCGCGCGGTGTCATGCCCTCTGCGGAAGGAAGTTTACCGTGTGAAGTGATAATTTTTCATATGATAATTGAGTCACGTCTGAGGGAAGTGTGGAGAAAAGTTTGCCACAAAGCGAAACCCCGAAAAATTTCTTCCCCTTCCGCGCCACCATGACGGATGAGATGAAGTTGAGAGGCAATTCAGGCAACAAATGAGGGGAACAACAATTGGGGATAAAGTTGTATGAGGAATTTCGCGAGATTCTCCTCATAATTGATGAGCATTTCAGAGAATCATCGTCCTCACACTGCCATTGTCTTGCACGTCTTCCAGATGTAGCGGGCGTAACTGGCAATTTTGTGGCGGAAAAGTGTTATTGGAAAATATTGCAAAGTCGCGAGGGAGGTTTTTCCTACTCTCTCGCAAACATCCCTAAATCTCAGTTCACTAACTCTCGTATTCAGCACACGGTGATGGCAATTTTTCATGAATATCTAATGATTTCATTTAGCAACGGCAGATACTTTAACAGTCTCTCTCCTGTAAGTCTATTTGCTGACACAAATTCAATTTCCACGGAATTAACAATGTATTCATTAAGACTTGCCGGCTAAGGATCCGGGAAATCAATGGTACATTTGCATACATTAATGACACGGAGTGCTCAGGTTGATGCTGTGTGTAAACCTTTGGGTGCAGTTATGAGCATTCTCACAGGGATAATCTTCAGTGGAATAAAGAGCAACTTTAAGGCGATCATCCTAAATGCTATAGAGCTTTTGCACAATAGCTCAACTTAGACAATTTAATTCTATAGTTAATGAAATGGTGTTGAGCAGCACACTTCTTGCTGATAAACATTGATGGTGAACTTTAAGTTGCTCTAAGAACTTTGAGTGACATGATTGGAAATTGTTTCCTCCTTTTATGGACTGCTGAAAGCCATGATTTGGAATGCGAAATAGAGATGTTCCGGCAATAAAAGTCCAAACCTTATTTCCGTTTTCTTCCCTAGAAAAGGCACTTAAGAATGTTGATATCTGATGTGATAATACAAATTGAAGTTGCTGAATGCCAGAAGATTTTCACATCATTTTCCAACAATCTTCTTGAGTGCTTTTTGCATGGCTTTGTAAAACCAAATCATGATTCTACTTACTGCAATGGCAAAAAAATGAATTAGAGGGTGAATCTTGCACAGATGTAGCTATATGAAATGCATATATGGTAATGATGTGCAATAGTATTGTATCACGTAACTTTGTCAAACTTTCGGAAAGCTCTCAATACACAACTCCCTGAGAGAAAACCACAAACTCTTGACATCCTTGTGAGGCTCATAAAGCCAAAAACTCTCGAGGCTCTGCACTTGGTTCGATAATCTCACTCATGATTCAGATAATACCCGAAACATGCAATACTCTGGGCGATGGAACAAAGACTTTGGCGTGTAATGACTCTGGCAAAGCACTGACCAAAGTTTAAATCATATTTTGCGGCATGGCCGATACAGAGACATATTGACCACTTCCTCACCCACTTTG